TGCATTCATTATTTTCTCTCGCTCTCGTTTTTTCAAAAATTCTGTTTCTCAGTTTTCTTCAACAAATCCATGTGAACAATGGAATCCTCATCAAGCATCATAAATCTCAACAGTGCTCCTGGTTCTTCTTCAATTAGCCTTCAAAATCCAAGTTCTGAGTCACTGGGACAAGAAATAAATTCTTCTGCTGGAAAATGCTCCCTGGAAAGAGCACCAACCTTCAGAAGCCACTGAACCAGGTTCTGATAGTCACCCTCTGACTACTGCTTCAGAAAAGGAAATTGCAACAGAAGAAGTAGTTGAATCAGAAGATACTGCAGAGTATTCTGAACGACATGCAACCTCTAAGGATACACCAGCTACGTCTCTAGTCATTCAAACTCTGGAAGAGTTGAAGAAGGAGAATGCTTTAATCCATGCTGTGATATGGTGGGAGAACTGACTTGGTTGTTTTGCGTTTGATCGCAATTGTTGCGGTTTAGCAAGAATCGCCACCGAATTTTCTTTTATCCAAAAAGGAAAGGTGAAAAAGTACATGAAAGACCGTTAGAGATGTTTTCTTGAGTTCGGGGGGTAGATTATGAAAAGAGGAGGTACTAGCACCCTTTTCATCCATGGTTTTCCATGGGCTCTTAGTTATTTTCTAGATCACTTGATTTTGTTTGAATGTGCTTGTGGGTTTTGAAAGTATTTTGAAAATGTCTTTGTAATGGCTCTCGTTTCTATAAGAACGCGTACAAAGTGTTATCTTTTGAAAATATTTCAACTGAGAGTGTTGGTGCAAAAATGTTTTTTGTGAGCAAGCGAGTAACTAGGAGCGAATCTACATACTCAAAAGGTATTAAGTGTTCTTTTCCTCCTCCTTTAGATGTTGTTATCTTGCCATGGATTTGGTAAGAAGCCCCATCGTTGGATGTGAAGGGACATATGCGGGAAGTTTATATAGTCATAGAAGGCAATCCATAGAACGTTTTAGCAATGTCATTTTAGGGACTAGATCGTTTACTGAAGGCAACATCGAGGGTCGTCGAGGGACTACGATCTTTTATCGAGGGTATTTTGCTAAAACATCCATGTTCAAGGGACATGACTAATTTTTGATAAGCGACAAGTGAGATTACCCTAAGGGTGCTTGTGTGTAAAGTGTGTTTGATTGCATGCATTTAGTCTTGATTAGAGTTATCTATTTGTTGATTTCATGTCTTGATATACACCCTAATTACTAGCATTTATATTTGAAAAGCAATAAATTGTGGGAATATAAAGTCCTACGCTATTACAATATTTTAGGGATGAGGGTACATATTTACAAATGGGGGGTTGCAAGAATTTAAATCATATTTAACTATTACAACCATATTGAAATGTACAATGCAAGAAAGAAAAGGGACTTGTTTAGAAAATGGTTTTTTTTGTCTTAATGAATTAAGAAAAAGAAATAAATTAATTAATAAAAGAAAATATTTTTATGTCTTTTTTATATTAATAAAAAGGGGATTAATATTGAAAATGATAAAAAAAAAGGGAAATAATGAGAGATAGAATTAAAATGTTGCTGAAAGTAACACAAAGGGGATCAGAAGTTATGATGTCGGGCATGATGTGGTTCAGAAGGAAGCGTCAGAAGTTTTAGATTGATACACTCTGAGGTCCTGTAAGACACGTTAGAGGGAAAATACAAAAGTTCTGGGTTGCTATGCACTGAACTTCTGAGTGTTATAACAATGAGAAAGTCTTAGAAGTTGTGTATATTAAAACAATGAAGAGAACTCAGAGGTTCAGTATGTTCAAAGACAGTGTGTGAACATCAGAAGTTCAGTGTGTTTAAACAGTGAGAAAACCATAGAAGTTATGTATGTTAAAATAGTGAGGAGAACTCAGAAGTTCTGTATTGTGCTAAAACAGTGAGTAAAAATCAGAGGTTCTACGCCACATTTCAACTCTTTCCTCATATTAATCAGCACATCAGAAATTTATTCAGTTCTTAATAAACAGCAAATCAGAAGGATAACAGCGCAACAGTTTATAGAAGTTCTATCCTAAATCTGAGCCTAGCCCTAATCAAGAAGTTCTGATCCACAGTTTTTCTACTTATGCAATGATATGGACAATATTAATTGTGATATTTACATATTAATGATGTTCTGAATGAAAAGATGCAATGTCAGAAAGACTTACCTTGAATCTGAAACGTGTGTTTGGAACTTGAACCGCTGCCTTCAGGTGTTCTGGAGTCAGCAAGAGCAACGGGAGAGAAAATGCCAAGTTTTTTTTTCAAAGGGAAGAATAAAGGTTTGGTTTTCTGTTTGGGAATTCTGGATTTTTGACGAAGGTTTCACAGTTTTCTTTTCTCTCCTTTGACGATTCTCTCTCTCCAAAAACCAACCCCTTGAACGTGTGATGGAGCCAATTATTTATAGATGGGTTTGTTGTGGTTTTGCATGGAAAACAAATGGGATTCAAACCTTTTTGTTATATTGTTCCATTGCTTTTTAATCACATTTTTTGTATACTAATTTGGTCCAAATATAGGGTTTGAGAAAAATGCAGGCGTAGACTAGATCAGCATCAATTTGGAGTGTTGTGGCAGATGGTTGCAGGATTGTGCTATAGCAGTGCAGCAGGCTGCTCAAACAAGGTTTTGGGGCTTTGTGATGTTCTGATCGAAGAAGACCAGAGGGAAACTTGAAGGGTGATGCTTTGATCGAAGCATATGCAGAAGAGCCATGTTCTGATTGAAGAATCATGTTATGAACCTTGTTTGCAAATTCTGACTGCACTTGCATGGAGGCTAGCTCAGAAGTTATGAAGTATCATATTCTCTTAATACTAATTTGGTCCAAATATAGGGTTTGATAAAAATGCAGGCGTGGACTAGATCAGCATCAATTTGGAGTGTTGTGGCAGATGGTTGCAGGATTGTGCTATAGCAGTGCAGCAGGCTGCTCAAACAAGGTTTTGGGGCTTTGTGATGTTCTGATCGAAGAAGACCAGAGGGAAACTTGAAGGGTGATTCTTTGATCAAAGCATATGCAGAAGAGCCATGTTCTGATTGAAGAATCATGTTATGAACCTTGTTTGCAAATTCTGACTGCACTTGCATGGAGGCTAGCTCAGAAGTTCTGAAGTATCATATTCTCTTAACACTTAGAAAATTTTCTAAATGTTTAGAAATTTGATCTTTTTCAAAGTAATTTCTGACTTCTGATTTTGATGAACCAATTTCATGTCTTGATGAAATGTAATTCTTGAAACTTGATTTTTTGATCTAAAAGTCAAAGTTTGACTTTTCAGTGTGCTTTTGACCATTTTGCCCTTGTGGATGGCTTTCTTGTAAAGTTGTAATTCAAGACTTGAAACTTGATAGAAGAAAACCTGAGAGTACAGGATGATCCTTTAAGAAATGAGAGGACAAATTTTGGGGTACAACAACTGCCCCTGTTCAATCTTCTTAAGCCTGAGGATGTAGATTGGTTGATCTGAAGGTGGAAGATGATTGAACACTAGAGTGCCCAGAAATGTGCACTCGTGTGATACGGTGGGAGAACTGACTTGAGGTTTTGCGTTTGTGTTCGCAAATGTTTCGGTTTAGCAAGAGTTGCCACCGACTTTTTATTTTATCTTAAAGAAAGGTCAAAAAGCACAGGAAAGACCTTTTGAGATGTTTTCTTGGGTTCGGGGAGTAGATTATGAAAAGGGAAGGTGCAAGCACCCTTTTCATCCATGGTTATCCATGGGCTCTTAGTTACTCGTTTAGATCACTTGCTTTTGCTTTTCAATTGTTTGAAATGGTACTTTGTGTGTGGTTTTGAAAGATGTTTTTAAAAGAGGCCATCATTGTGGCAACCTTTGTAATGATTCTTGTTTGAATGTGTACAAGGGTGTATTGTCTTTTGAAAAGATTTCAATGTTTGAAAGTTTTGATTTGGGAAATATTTTGAAATTGTGTTGTGAAGTGTGTTTGAAAATAGCAAGGAAGTTTTGCAAGTTTTTGATCAAGTAACTAAGAGTTGTCTACCTTATTTTACTCAAAGATCTTTCCTATATGTTTTTAACCCTTTTGATAGTGTTGTTTTACCATTGCATTTGGTAAACAACCTTGTATTAGGATGTTAAACGGGACAGGCGCGGGTCATCGTATAAACCATGATAGCAATTGTGTTAAGTATTTTTGGCAAATTTTCTGAGGGACTAGATCATTTTGTATAGGCAACCAAGATAGCGTCATCGAGGGACTATGATCTTTTGTTTTGTTTTTGTTTTGCCAAAGTACCCAACATGTATAACATGGCCCATTTTAAAGGCAACAAGTGGATGAAACCTTATGGGTGTAAGTGTGTATTGTGTATTGATTTTCATGCATTTTTTGTCTTTGTATTAGGTCAAGCTATTTGTTGATTTTGGATTTTTTTGGATACAAACCCTAATCTCTAATCATGGCATAATTGAAAGCGTAAATGCGTAAAATAAATCTATACTATTACAACATGATTATGGGGATGGGGGATACAATTTTGAATGGGGATCATTTTGACAAGAAATTAAAACCCTAGTTTTACTATTACATCCAAATTGAATCAAATGGCATGAATGATAAATGAACAATATTCAAATAAATAAATTAAATAAATATACAAAACAATATGAATATGCAAAAAAGGTTCTTGTTTATTTTTATGTATGTAAAAATATTTAATGCAAAAAAGAAAGAAATAAATGAAAAGATTATTATTATTTTTTTGGGTTAAGGGTAAAACTCTAATTTTCTTTAAAAAAATAAATAAATAAATTATATTATTTATATACAATAAGATAAAATAATGTATGTAAAAAAAATAAAATATATAATAAGATAAAAGTATATATATATTACCCGAGTTATTACCCGAGTGAAATGATTTGGTTCACGTCTTTCAATGCCTTAAGTTATTACCCGAGTGACCGAATTTCAGAGTAAATTCCTAAACCGGAAAGATCGTCCCAAACTAAGAGTCTACCAAACCCAAACAAGGATCTTCCCAGCCTTCCACCAAAGCCACAACACTTCCTGTATAACCATCTCCGCTCACAGAGGGATAAGCGGACTAGCCGGCTGAAAGGCAAAGAGAAGAACTGCCTACTCAATTACAACTAACTAACCGCCTGAGCGAATTGCCGATCTCTTTCCCCAGGGATGATCTTCCTTTCATTCTTAAAGGCCTCCATCTTGCATTTTCACGCGCTCAATCGGAATTGGTTAGGTTATATATATATATATATATATATATATATATATATATATATATATATATATATATATATATATATATAATATATATATATATATTATATATATATATATATATATATATTATATATATATATATATATATATATATATATATATATATATATATTATA